ATACCAAGACAAGATATATTTTGAAAATAGACAGGTTTGTTTTATCTAAATAGTTTTTAATTTTGTTATGTACAAATAAATATTAAACGTCAAAACGTAGTATACAAACACCAACTAAAAAACTGGTATAAAATCGTCTTCTGTTGATCCTTGGTTAGGATATTAAATCCAAAGTAATTTAGGAATAGGAAAGCTAAGTGATTGGAGTTAACGAGTTCTTCACGAAAAATATAAATAACAACCGCGCACGTGTTAAACTGTCAATCCTGCGCATAACAGAGTCTTTGAGTTATTTATATCGGGCATTAGATTAAGCAACTAAGTTTAAAGAAGGACATCATTTCACAATACATTGGAAGGAGTTTCTTGATACTTATCAAATAACCATTCATGTAAGGTATTACGAGTATTTTGCAGAAAGAAAAATTAAGGTTTTGTAAGAAAAGATAAGTTTCTTTATTTAAAAAATCGTAATTGAAAGAATGGTTGGTTAATATAAATATTCCAATACGATTGAATAGAGCTTTAAGTTTACGTTTGTTTTTTAAGACCTTGTTTTTTTAAACCTGTAATTTAAGAATATTTGTAATAAATACAAATTATTTTAAGGCTAGTGCATGGAGGTAAAAGGGAATTAATTTCCACCAAACGTTGAATCCGACCCAAGTGTTTTACGAAATGTTTGAATTGTATTTTATATTCATTTGAAAAAATTTTGAACTGTAATGTACAACGTGCTATGAAAAAATTTAATGACGGATTAGGATGATTTGAAATCCTAGTCTAAGAGACTTAGATGAGAGGTAGTCGCTTAAGTAGTATACTGTAGTAAGATCGATTTCGATTAACAAATATTCCTTCGACTTTAGACACTCTACCAGATAGATTTTCCATGCTTACGTCAGAGTTGTAACCAATTATACGAGTAAGAATGAGAATGAACTTGATCCAACTGAGTCGCCGATGGAGGGTACTGTTGAAAAAATACAGATTTTTACTTTACCAACTTGTTAACAACGCCAATCTCAAAGGACAACTTGTGCAGAATTCTTTATGTTTAAGCCTGTTCAAGCCTTAATTTTCTCATTTAAGTTCTCATTCAATATTAGGTTAGGAAAAAATAAAAGAATAAAAGACTAAATAGAACTAGAATGGGAGCACACTTTAAATTCTGGGATCTCTAGTAAAAAACTGAATTCAGGTCGATCTAGATGGGATATAATTTATTCAGCTAGATCAACAATATACATGCATTAGCCAAGTCAAATTTACTAAAACTAACTAACTAACTTGAAAAATATACATTAAAATTCATGAGGACTGTCCGTCAGCGAAAATGCGCAGACACTGTAGTAGCCTTTACCAGCGAGAAAGGACCTCAAGTGCCTTTTGAAGCATCCCGGACTATTAACTATGGATATCAACTCCAGTATCCATATTCATTGCTGGAACCGATTAGGAATATTCAAACATTATGCATTACACATATATTTGGGCTTCTGTAAATATTCACAGCAACATAAATAGTATCTGAATCATTCCAGGGTTTTCGACTATTTACAATTCTAATATAAGTTTTTTCTGATCGTCAAGTAGTGTTGCAGGCTGTGGTGTATGAGTAATACATGTGGTGACATCATGAGAGCATGTAGTGTAGAGCTATCTCAGACCAGGTGTGTGTATGACGTGGCAACATGTAGATGTTATCTGGACAATTGGTACACGATTGACTTTGAACTCGTGGTTGGGAAAGGTCACTTGGTGGAAGGCTATTGGAAGAGTTGAGACAAATCTGAGGTACGAGAAGTGTGCCATCGAGGATGAAAAATACCGCCAAAAAGAGTCCTATTGAGACAATTTAAATTTCAGCACGGTTACATAGGTGGCGTTTCAAAAACGTGAATCATGAGAAACGAAAATATGTTTTAAGGGGAGCAGTGTGCGAAAATGCCCAAAAAATAAGTTTTTAATAAATTATGACAAAATATTGTGTATTTTGTGCTGTTTAAGAAAATATATAACACTTTATACTTTGGATATTTTTTTATATAAGAAGGAATCATTAATTCTGCATTAAGATACATTAAGGAAACTACCCATTTTCCCGGTTTTTCCTGATTTACTAAGCTTGTAATAGTCAAATCTTAAATCAAACTGCATATTTGTATTTAGGAAAAAAAAACTGAACAATTTGAGTAACCATAGTCTAATATTGTATATAAAAACAATTTTCCCGGATTTTTGAAAGAGGGCCCTTCTGGATTCTACTGAGCCTGCCCTTCAAGGGTTCAAATGTGAATATCCGAAAGTTAGTTTTTATAAGTTTAGGTACCATTCTAAACAAAACTACTTAACTCATCAAGCCCAAATTTGACACAATACTTCCTGTTACCATGGTGAATAGTTTCATGCATTTTTAGAATGTTACCATTAATTTTACTTTAAAAATAAATTGTTTATTATTAAAAAAAAACACAATAAAAATTAGCAATTTGTTTATTTTATATTTTAAAAACTAGACCTAATTTCTTGTTTATATAGCATGAAATCATAGAAAACAATCTAAGGAATGAATATAAAAAAAATTAAGTCAATATCTCTAACGGGTTTAAAAATAAATGTACCTATATAATCACATGTTTTCCCATAAGAATAAAATGGGAGTGGTATTCGCGCACTGCTCCCCTTTAAGGTATGTCTTGAAAAAGAAGTACGTCTTGAAGGACACTTTTTATCCTTCGAGTTTTTCCCCCTTAAGATGTTAAAGGGGAAACAAACTAGAAGGATAAAAAGGGTACATTAAAGGACGAAACCATTGTAAAACTCTGTTTTCATAACATTAAAGTGTGAGAATTGTACCATAGTTGATGAAAACCACAAATAATTCAGTATAAAATAAGGTGGATAAAACCACTTCCAAACACTTTCTGTGTACAAGAGTTGGCCTTAATTTCAACTTAACCTTACTACTTAGTTCATGCACTCAGAGATTTTTTTCATCATATTACTTGTTTTTACTATTTGCCTCAAAAGTTGTCACAATAATTGATACTTATATTGAATACAATTTTAAGTTCATATAGAAAAGTCCCGGAAGAGCTAAGTCTATTCCTAGGATTACAAATGATTTACAAAATCACGAAATGTAAAGCAATGTCATTTTACCCAGCCTTCATAAATATATTTTCCTGTATTTTCTTAGTTGCCGCGGACTTAGAAGACTTGGATGGCGTAAGCTGATGTGCAGTTCTGTAAAAATTCAATATGAGTATGAATAGAGCAAAATACTTAAAATTCGACCTTTAAAAGATTATTGCTGTCCTAAATATTGGAATTGAAAATTGAAAATTCTATTATGGAAAAGGTTGATTTAACATTCAGACGCACGAACCACGGACTGTTTCTTCATTTTTAAATTACGATCTGCACATAATTCAACTGTTTCGATCTACGCTTTATAATATAAACAGGGTGTTTCCAAATTGTCTGGACATATTTTGTGTACTTGTTCCTTGAGTTAACAAACATAAAATGCCACATAAGTAGGGGTCTAAAATGCCTAGATTTTTTTTTCGGTCCGTTTGTGATTTTTTTTAAATTTCTTTATATCTGGGGCATTTTTCAAGATATTTCAAAATTGAGAATTTCAAAATTGGTATAGATGTGTATTTATAGGTAAAAAGAGCTTACACGGTTTCGTTCCAATATCTTTTAAGCCGTTTCAATATGGTGGCCATTTAAAATCTTAAATGTCAAATTTCATGGAAACCGTAAACATAAAGGAAATAATTCTACGATTAAAAATATATAGAATTTAAATTTAAATCGAATAAGACCTTGTTTGTTAAAATCGGATGACAAACAACCGAGTAATCAGTTTTTATCTACATTCGGTCACGCAATGTGAAGACAATAAGACTTCCATATTGTTTATTATTATTTTACAGAGCAGTATGATCGTCATATTAATTGCGTAACTGAATGTAGAAAAAAACTGATTACTCGGTTTTTTGTCATCCGATTTTAACAACAATCGGTCATCAGACCGACAAACAGAAATCTAGGCATTTTAGAGCCATACTTTTGCGGAATGTTATGTTTGTTTTAGCCCAAGCAGAGAGCACAGAATAGAAACGTTTTATATTCTTTGCTCTCTGAGCCCAAGGAACAAGTCCACTAAATATGTCCAGACAATTTGGAAACACCTTGTATTTTGTAGCTTGACCTTCAGATTCTAACAAGATCACGAGACCAACAAGATCAAAATCTAAGATCACAAGTTTCATCATATCTCAGTTCAGAAGACGTGACATTGACGATATCACATTTATTTAGAAACCAAAACACAAAGTCGTGGCTTTACTTGACCAACAAGGTTGCGGATTCAACCATATCATGGTTTGCGGCGTCGTGTGCCTCTTCTTGTGGTTTACTAAGTTACATAATAAACGCAGCTGTGGTTTTTCTCAGAGATGAAGATGCTGTATTTGTTTTCGGGTAATTCCGGATGGTTTGATAATCCTAAAGTAAACAATGTAAAATAAGTTCGATTCTTGAGTACTTGGAGAAGAATCATTTTTATTTCTTTATCATCAGATATATTCGAAGAAAGTTCGTTAGAAGTTTCACGCCGATGGTCATATTTAAACTCACTGTCAAACACTAGGTGCTAGGTATGCTCCAAAAATATTACTCAAAATAGAATACAAGACGAAGGCACTGTTCCAAAAGAATTTGCACGCACAGGCATATCTTCTAAAACGTATTTTTACGAGAAGCACTGCTCAGGAAAAGAGGGGAAGTCAACCGTGACGTCGAAATATCGGTAGGTTTTGTCGTCGGGAGGACAAGCCGTTGGCAGATATTGCCATATCACCCTCTCAAACATTAGGCCCTCAAAGGGAATGCCTTGACGACGTGTTCTAGAGTAGTACCTTTCGGAAAGCTCCCCGGACCTCCAAACATTGAGTCTAAACGACATGAGAGTTTCCTGTACCCACCTGGAACAGTGAGTTGCCAGTGACGAAGCTGCGCACGTAGTGGCTGCCGAAGCTCTTGATGAACTCCACGACGCTCGCCGTGTCGCCCACCTTGACCTGGTCAGCTTGTCTCGCCACCGCCTCGTGTATCTGCGATGTGTCGGGCGTGACGGCGGCGTCCTCCTGCACTCTGGCGGCGTCGCGGTGCCTCGCCAGCCGCACCAGCACGTAGCTGTGTCTGCCAGTCACGTAGGTAGAGTTGATCCCCAGGTTACGTGCCACCGCCGCGGGTCCCCAGCTGCCCGTGAACGCTTGCCAAGGACGGTCCAGCCGCTCGACGGCGAAGTCGCGGAAGTAGGCTTGCAGCAGCTGGCGCACGTTGTCGCAGAACTCCATGTGGAAGTCACCCTGGAAGATAGGGTTGGTTGCCACCTTCTGCGATAAGCTGGAATACACAAGTATGTTTTACGTTGCGGATAATGCAGGTGTTAAGAAGATAACATAAGCTACTTGCCTTCGAGTAGTTTTATAAATGAGATTTTCATTAAAGTAATTAATCTAAAAGCTTTCACTCAGAATCTCTCATACAGGATGACACAAAGGAACCGGACGTTTTTTAAACACCTGTTTCATCGTTGTCGCACGTGGTAGGAAGATTGAGGTTATGTCATACCCTTCAGTGAGGCTTGCCATTTTTGTTGAAATGGCTCAGTGCACCTTAGACCATCGCGTTTTCGCATACAATATTTTGGTCCAAAATAGTGAATCCGTCGTCAAATCCAGCGGGAATTTAGAGGACATTTTAACATTGAACGCCACGGAACGGTTCCAAGCCGAAATATGCTATTAAGATGGGTTTCAGGGTTCCGAACAACTGGGAATATAACAAGAAAGAAACCACCAGGCCTTGTTAGAATTTCGAGAACACCTGAAAACATCGCTAGATTGAGAGCAGTGTTGAATGAATGTTTCCTAACAAGGTGATTTCTCACTTTGGTGACATACCGTGGCCACCAAGGTCACCTGACTTGTCCACTAGTGATAACTTCCTGTTTAAGGAGCGTGTTTATGCTCACAAACCACGCACTCTAAGGGATTTGAAGTAGGGGGGGGGGGGCAATCACAGAAGATATCAACGGCATTGAATAAGACCTCCTGACCTGAGTTTCAGATGATTTTCAGACCAGAATGAACATTTTTAGAGAAGTACATGGCCGCCATTTGCATGACGTCATTTTCAAAAAATGACTGTTTTGTAACAAATGGCAAATTTTACCTCAATATGTACATTATTAAAACCATTTTATTCCATTTAACTACTGTGTACTACTTATTTAAATAACGTTCGGTTCCTTTGTGTCACCCTGTATGAAGAAAATAGTAGTACCATGCTCAAAATAGTCAATCTGGTCAAACGTTATATGTCGCACCAGGTATAACAGCTTAGACATACCTATTTCTAACAGGAACATTTTTGAAGACATCGACGATGGGTTCTCGGAAAAGCCACGTCTGGTCGGTGTCGTTGCGAGGTACAACCTTCATGCTGATGCTGAGGTAGCCGTAGCGGCCAAACAGGTTGATAGCGCCTCCAACACGGATCTGGGCGTCAGCTTGTGATAGTGTCAGCGACAAGAGCCACAGCAGCGTCAGCGCGAGGACAGACCACGGGCTCAGCATCCCCTCCTGAGAACATAAATCAGGAATGAAGAGCATACTACTTGAAAACGAGTAAGACAGCGTCAGCAACAAGAGCCACGCCAGCGTCAGAGTGGAGATAGACCACGACACTACCTTCGTTTCCTAAAAGCAAACAACAGTATTTGAGTACCATCCAGAACCAGTGGTAAGTTCCCGCAGATCCTGAAGGGTGGGGACCGAGGACGAGGGAAAACTCAACGTTGACGAGTTAGAAGAGTTTGTGAAAATGTAATTTTTGAGCAGTAAAAGAAAACTTTTGCTATTTAAACACATTTAAAATGTATTTTCCTTTTATTGCTCACTAAGAGATGGCCGTCACATCAAGGCAACACTAAATAAACGCCTTGGTCACATGGATCCAAGAAACGCCATGACAATTGCAATCAATCGTATTGCTGCTTTGTAATCAATGCCCCTAGAAACATCTTGCACACATTTAAAATATTTAAATAAAAATTGACAAACCAATAAGTGAGCCAAGCTTTCAGCATTCATGTGAGGTGGATGCTAAGAGAATAAGGTGTTAGGAAGGACGTAAACAAAGTTTCTTCATGTTCAACTTTTATATGTGATAAACAAAATTTACGTAATCATACAGTTTGTTTTATACATCATATTTATTAAGGCTACAAACACATCTGTGATTTATGTCCATTCATACAAATAAAGACGTGGACCCAAAGACATTTCCATCGGGGGTCTCGAACGCAGAATTGAGAGTCAGCGACCACTACTCAAATGGAAGAGTAATTTATTACAAAAAGATAACAATCAATAAACTTCGTTCCAACATTACTATTTTTTGTTTCTTTTAAATGCTTGATATTATTGTGCAGACGACCAAGACCCAATTTCCTTCTCATTTAATACATGACCAAACATTACAGTGTCGTTACAACCAATCAGAAGTACTTCTTGAGTTTTTGTTGCAGTCTTTAGATTCTAATGTGTTATTTAAGCAGTTAAAATCGCATTTAGTAGGTAACCACAAATGGTTGTAGGTATTACAGCTATTAGTTGTGCAACAACATGTGACGAACGGGCGAAACGTGTGTTTAAATACGTGTTTACTCACGTTGCAAAACACGTACAAAATGATCAGCTGATCATCAACTGGAGTTATTTAGCTTGTAATTTGAATTTCGTTGCATTTAATAGCTTTATGCAACTAACATTTAAATGCACTTTCCGCGAACGTTTGAAAACTTTACTTAAACCTCTTCATGAGATCGGATTTCATAAATAAAATATATTTACATATGAGATTCTGTTTGTTCCTATTAAACATAAACCCTACTGAACTGAACACATTGCAATTTTGCACAAGTAGGTCATGAACACGGTCAAAACAAAAAGTTATTCATGTTCGTGAATTGTCTACACCATGTGGATGTTCATAGTTACGAAGTGAGCCATTTTAATTGGTTTACATTGAGGCAAAAAGAAATCGCAGTGTTTAAATCTGCTATATCCAGATTTCATTTACTAAAAGTTTAAAACATAATTACTTTTTATTCAGCTCTCCTAGCGTATCAGAATAAAATGACTATTGAGATCATTTAGGAAAACTAGGCCAGTTGAGAATGATCAATATTAGGTGTACAAATATTTTCCTCAATTAATAAGGACCAAATTAATTTATTTTCCGTCTCACTCTAAAAGCAACCAGTCGTCTATAAGTTGAATACATAACAAAATAGTCTCGCAGCATCACGGGATTTCCAAAAACATTTTCCGTTCCGTGAAGTTTCTGTTGACGCGTTAAACCGATAAATTACTTCCCATGAGCAGACAAAGTCAAGTCCCGCGTCCTGAAGTCGAGGTCATCAGATTGTATGCCTGAATTTATAGAACACACGTGATTATTGGTCGCCTTTTTCGTTTGATACCAGAAACCAGGTATTGGACATTTGGTATAATGTAAAGTCGTAGTACAATGACCAGTAGTCATTGGTCGAAGCCACACCAACCACCGAAGCTTTTAACCGAAATATTTTTCCGAGCTTGAGAAGGAAAAATATTTTACTTCTATTACCGTTATCATTTCTTTTGGAGACAATTCCACCCAGGAGCATACTTTAAGCTGAATATTAATCCAAGCTGAGTGCTTGATTGAGTAAGATGATCTGAGTAGCTTTGAGTAGTTACTGTATAAGATTAATTGTTTCTTTAGTCCGCATCATTTATTAAGACCAATGATCAAGGACATCTGGGCCAAGTTTCAGATCTTCAAAATCTGATTCGATAGAGCTAGCAACTAAATAAGCTACAGAAAATACAGTTTTCTCTCTTATAAAAAAGCTTTTAAATTTTTCCAAACTAAAAGTATACTTTATTGTAAACTAGTTCCATCAACCTATTGTAGTATAACAATCGAAAGAGAATAACATTTCCTAGCGACATACGCTATGAGAGTTTCTTGAAATCTATGTTCTCTTTCTAAAGGCTGGCTATGTTGTCAATATAAATGGGATGTCAATTCAATTTTCGTGGTCAAAGTTTTATCTAGGGCCTACTGCAATGAAGATATTTTGTTCAACTGAGATCTTAGAAGAGACTTTTGAAAATTTAAGTATCATATTTTCCAAAATTGACTGTTAGATCAAAGAAAGTTGAAGTAATTTTTCAACGCTCCTTAAACATCCTCATTTGACCTGCCAATACATTATTAATGATTTATAAACATGTATCAACTGTGGATTCATAAACAACACGTGGACGAAGAAATTTTCAGAACTTTCATCTTTACCCTCGTATTTAAAAACTGTTAAAACCCAAGATTACTGTCATCGAAAACGTTAAGAATTAGGAATATTCTATTTTCATTGTTGCTCTTCTTAACATACATATTAGTGTGGTTTTCGATACTTTATGAACGAAGATGTCGTTTTGGATACCAGAAACATAAAGGTTTTAGAATTCAACAGAAGATATGAAAGCCTTCCTTTGTCCCTTGGAAAGCTTCTCTAGTCGTGATAGAAGAGCCTTGCCGTGAGGTTCGTGTCCGTCAAATGTCAGCAAGAGTGTCGTGGTTTCCCAACCAAAGTCCAGGGCCAGACTTTCATTTGAAGCAACTCTTGACAAAGTTCTAAGCAAGAGTTCAACTACGAAGTTTAGAAATCATGAACATTTTCTAAAAGTTGGATATTTGTTTGGTAACTGTTCACAGTTTGCTTGAAACCGAAACTGAAATTGACAATGTTAAGGAAGTGGATCGAATCGTAAGGAAAAACTGTCAATAATTCCACAACAAAGGATGAATTCACTTCACACCCTACCCTGTTTTTATTATATCTCTGTCCTAGAACACATCATGGTGTTTTTTTTTTTTTTTTTTTTTTTTACATAAATGTGATCTAAGAAGATGACAATTAACACTCTAATCACTCTTATTCTTGTAATTTATCAGAGTGCTGTCTGTCTTGCCTTTCTAGTTTTATCATCTGATTTAGAGTAAAGAATGATGATGGTGTATCCTATCTTGACCGAAATGATCAAACACTAAAATACTCAAGAACACAAAAGTCACTTCCTCTTCAAGGTTTCTTAATCGATTTCTCGCTGATTTCTTCACGTTTGAAGGTTAGACCTCCCGTGCTTTTTTGACCCTTTCATGCACCGAGACCCAAGAGGAAAGGAGGGAAGCCGTGACGAATTATCATAAAAGTATTGGGTAACCGGAGGCGCACGGCAGTGGTGTACAATGACCTAGATAGCTGCCAAGGTCAGTAGAAGGTCACTGGAATCGCTGGACTACGAACTGCAAGAAATGGTCCTTCGATATGGGTGGCCAATGAGCACGAAGTTGGATTGAAACTTCATACAGTATCAGATTAGCCAATCGAAGAGGACACTACATTGACTTTCTTTTTTACGACACTTTTTCAAAAGATCACAAAAATTATCTTCAACTGCCATGATTCTTGAGAACGCTTTGGATTTAGTCAAGAAATCTTGCATGGTTAGCAGATTCTCCAATTAAAGTGACAACTGAACTGTTATCCTTTATCTAACATCAACTGAATTTCTCACAAAACCACCTCTTATAACCTCCAACCTACCAATAGTATGTCAAGAACGATATGCATTAAGCAAAGAAATATTTATTATACAGCTTCGTAAGGACCAGTTATTTAATCATACGAATACTACAACTGTACCTTTTATCACTAGGACTTGGAGTGACTGTTTTCTAAATGAGCTCAAGTATAAGGACCCAGGCTGAGTCGAAATTGTAAACTGAGGGTCAAAAATACAGAGTATGATTTTTATGTTTATACCACCAATAAAGGATTTGGAACTCTTTTTTTATCTAATTATTATTGAGGTAAACAACGCACAAAACGCTGGTTTTCTGGATTAATTGGCTTAATCAACTGTGTTGAATAACCGAGTTTTTAGACTATCATCATTTTGGATAAATTTGTAGTTTGAATTGGCAAAAAAATTGTGTTGTTATATGTATTGTATGAGTTTATGATTGTTGTATGAGTAGATTTTCTTTCTTGAGTATTATGTATGATACTCTGATACTACTGATGATACTATGTAGATGTATGATTAATCCTATTAAACAAATTTATGGTCAACTGTGAATAAATACATGATTTCTAAATATTAGTGCAGTATGAAGAAAAAGACTTTATCACACGGACCAAAATAATCTCTTACCGGCTGCTCGCTCATTAGAGCACAAGTTGAAAAAGATTAACTTTAATCTTTTGGCCTTAGTAATGGAATATAACCATGTTACAACTAAGTAATCAATCAATGTAGCAACTGAATACTTCACTTGGTCAACTTCCAATTAGTTGTAAGGGTTTATTAATTCTGTAGTTGTTCTCCCGCTGTAATACATTTACTTGCATATGCCCGGTCACGATCAGGAGAAAGGTTTGTATATGTTTGGCTGCAGACGACTTGGCACCAAGTACCTTCACTTTCATCCAAACCCGCCAAGAATCCTTTATGAAAGTGAAGTAAGA